GAAAACCAGAGATTTGGAATGGAATTCTGAGCAGTTTTAATTTTACTGTAATATTTGATCAGAAATGGAGTTTTTCTTGTCTATATGTTTATGTATTTTTTAATTTTTAACAATCATACAGACCTTATAACTTCTTTTTTCCACAAATTCTGTGATTTCCTCTCATTGTTTCTATCAGCTGTTTTGGTTTTTGACGTCTTCTAATGGCAGGGCCAAGGCTGTTATCAGAGTGAAGGCTCTGAATATAGCTTGTGTTCAGGGTCTGGAATCAAACCCTTGGCCGCTATGTAAGGACTCTCACGGGGGTGGTGCTCTACAGGTGAGTCTACTGGCGCCACCTATCGGAATTTAGTTAATCTGAGAAATCACTTTGGGAGTGACTACCAATACAATCCAAAAATATTTTTAATCCCATCTTTTTTCCAATAATTCAAATATTGTTTCGTCAGGCATTTCTAGGAACACATCCTATTTTTTACAGACAAATAAAGCTACTTTTTTTCCATCACAGGATTTTTCCCAGAGTTTTGTGTATGGTGACCTGACCTGAATGTGATGTAGTTACATCACTTCTTTTTGTGGTGAACTAGGTGTTTGAGTTGCAGTCTGACTAGCTTGTGAGGCTCAGACCACCTTACAGGGATTAGGAGATGGGGAGTGTTTCATGTGTGTGGACCTTGGTGACTTCTTGGATCATTTAAGATCATTCACTCTCCCACTTTGTCCAGCGGAGACCAGTGTTTTGGGCTCGTTACTCAAAATGTCATTTTTAATTACTCATTACTGGTTTACTCTTTTCAAAAGGCAATATTATAGGGTGCCTATAGCTCACCTGGTAGAGCTACTGGGCCCCATGTATCAAGGCTGGAGACCTTGCTTGTTTAATTGTTTATTCTTTAACACACATGGAATAATCTGAAATTTACAAAAACAAAGAAATTTTACCAAATGACTAACATTAAATACCAGGGTATATTAGGACATGGATAATGCACACATTTTCCAAAAAAACGCCAAAGAAAAAAAGGGGGTGGGTGGGTGGCGTACAAGTCTGGATGGGGAGTGTACGTTGTGCATACGTTTGTTCTGTTCAGATTGGACTAGATTCTTGGATTCCAAATTGGCAGTTGGGGGTGGACAACAAAGTAATATTTTACTGTCTTTGGGTGCTCATAACGTTTATATAATATATTAATTTATTCCTGAAATTCATTAGTAATTATTTGTACTAGCTATTACTAGCTAAAGTAAGTATCTATTGCTCAAATTGCACTTACTGTCGAAACACTGGGTGGAGACAATATATGTATTTGGCAATTTGAATGTAAAATATAGGGCTGAACCACACCTTACTGTACTATCCCAGCAGCACTTGATGTCACTGATTGATTGATGACATGAGTCATACACACAGGTAAATGTCAGTGGAGTGACTCACGTCGGGTCATGAGCAGAAGAGACTCAAAGGATGTCTGGTCTGGAACCAGGAATGAAGTTTACATCTCAGGATATGTAATATAACATTAATAGTTTACTTGGCACTAGTTTGTTAGTTTATTAATGACCTTTTGATGTTCTTCGACCATGGAACTTGGTCTCTGTACTGGTTTATTAGATCTTAGTGCTGCATTTTGACACAAATTGCCACATATTATTTCTTTTAGCAGTTGAGAGTTTGTAGCATTCATACTTCTTTAGGCATTAACAGGAACCGCAACTTAAGTGCCGTTTACAGTCATAATTTATCAGGAATCGATTAGCAAGTTCCTGTACATGTTAACGATTGAATACATCAATAAATACTACAGTTAATCAGGGGGAGGTCCACAAGGTTCTTGGTACTTGGACGCCAATGTTATTTACTTTATATATGGCTCCCTCTTAGGCACCAATATTAGGAATCACTCCATTAACTTCCATTTGCTTATGCAGATGATACCGCAGTATATACTAAATCTTACTCGATCAAGCCCGAATGACAATTGAAATCAATTATTATCTAAATTTATCAAAATGTCTTAAGGACATAATAATCTCCTGGGATGAACTGTAATTTTCTGATTTCTTGTTAAACTCGGAAAAAAACAAAATTCTTGTACCTGGCCAAAAACCTCACTGTCTAAAAGATTATGTATACTCTAGTGATGGCATTACCTTGGCTCTAAGCACCACTGTCAGGATCTTGGAGTTATCTTTGATAAGGATTTGTCATTTAATTCCCACATAAAGCAGATTCTAGGACTGCCTTCTTTCATTTACGTAATGTATTTACATAAAATTAGACACATCCTATCACAGCAGATGCAAAAAAACTAAATCCATGCATTTGTTACTTCTAGGGGCTGGATTACTTGCAACGCTTTTTTATCGGTTGCCCTAATTAAGGGCCATTTAAGACGCTCCACTTAATTCAAAGCTGCAGCACGAGTACTGACAAGGAACTAGGGAAAAGAGATCACATCTCTCCTGTTCTAGCTTCTCTGCATTGGCTTTCCCTGTTTAAATTTAGAATAGAATTTAAAATCCTCATTACCTATAAAGCTTCTTCATGGTCAGGCCCCTTCTTATCTTGAAGAGGCTCATAGTCCCTATTACGCCTCTAGAACACTGCGTTCTCTTAAAATGCGAGGTTACTTTTTGGTTCCTATAGTCTCTAAAAGTACGAACAGGAGCCAGACCCTTCAGTTTCCAAGCTCTCTCCTGTAGCGAACAGCTTCCAGTCGTGGTTCGGGAGGCAGACACCCTCATCAATTTAAGAGTAGGTAAGACGTTCCTCTTTTTATAAAGACTTATAGGTTAGGGACTGGATCGGTTGGTCCTGAACCATCCCTTAGTTCATGCTGTTATAGGCCCTAAGACTGGTCGGGGGATTCCCATGGTGCACTGAGCTCCTCTCTTCTCTCTCTCTTCTTTCTGCACTTCACTCATGCTTCCCATTAATGCATTGTTACTAACTGTTACTTCCATCTCCCTGGAGTTAACCTTTTACTTGATCAAGAATGTTTTTTTTTTTAAGCTTACTCCAAAGTTAGTTAGTTTTAATTAAAAAATTTTCGATGTAATCAGTTTGGAGTTGATAAGAACGTGCTGATTTTACAGTGAATTTGTTCGGATCTTTATGGGTCACTTTTGAGGGCTGCTGTTGGTGGCAGTGTTCTATTACAATCCAAATATTGTTATGTTAATGATTTATTTCTAAATTTGTTTTATTCACTGTCTCCCTAAACCTTTTTAACACATGAGACGGGCATCATGTCGGTTCGGATCTAGAGATATTCATTCATGGGAGGTTCATCGAGGGTTTCATGGAGGAGTAGTTACAGGTGGTGGCATGACATATATATATTGCTGAATCAATCACAACAATCACTATAGACCTAATCAAATCATCTGCTTCTCGGAGAAGCTCCCAAATGAGAGATTTTAACTCATCAACGAGTATTGTGGCACATTAGTAAAGCAGTGAACAGTAAATATCTAAAGGTGGCATTAGAAATCAATAAACTTTTTTTATTTCCAAATCTTTCAGACTATTTATTCCAAATATCCATGTAAGTTTTTCTCAGTCTCAGAATGGTAGAGCCATAATGATTCTATTTATTCACTTTCCATTTTTAACATGTTATTTTAAAGTAATCTATATGAATGGTAAATTTGGACAGCATTTGGACACCAAACTCGCATTTGGTGACAGACTGAGGGTGGGTCAGAGATTTTTTAGGACTTGTAGACCCTTCTAGGATCCGCCCTTGGGGAGATGCCCTTCCTAGAAAGACGACGTTGCAATTAGATGTCTGGTAGCCATCGCAACTATTACAAAGTGGGCTGAAGTCCTTACTGCAGTTGGGCTGGTGTTCGGATTCCAACCTGTGGCCTTCGCCTGTGTACGTCGGCGCTCTCTGTCTCCCCGAGCTCGGAAGACTTCGGTTGATTATTAATGGTGACTGGTGATAAGGATCAGGAGCCCCTAGTTTGGGGCGCTACCAGTGGTGTTCGCTCTAGATCCCCGCCCGCCTGTGTGTGTGTGTGTGGGTGTTCCGAGAACGCGCACGCAGGAAGTTCCTATCCTGTCGAGAGCGCGAAATATGACGTAAGTTGCTTGCCGCGCAGTGATGATGGCGGTGCGTGAACGCGCAGTAAAAGTAATGGCTGCTCTGGATCGGCGGGGGCCNNNNGGGTGCCTAGCCTCGATGATTTCGTGGGTCAAAGCTGGACTGCCTGGGCCGAGTGGGCCGGTGTGACGGCAGCGGATGGTAAGGAAGCACACTGACGCAAACACCGGCAGCTGCGAAGCCATTTAACCAAAACACCGGGGTTTATTTTCGTGGAAACGGAGGACAGAGCTAACCATGTTACCCAAACAAAGACCCTGCCGGGTCCTAGCGCTGGGTGGGTAACATGTTGCTCTCTCCCAGGTCCCACTGCATACGCTGTCTTCAAGAAAAAATAAGTGCTAGTTACTCAGATATAGTCATTATAGTGTGTGTGTTACGGCTGTGGCCATGAAACAAGCTGCCAGCGTCTCAGAGATGCGTCCCGTTTTAGTGAAAGCAACCGGGCAGCGGTGGCATCAGAGCGGAAGGAGGCTAGTGTGGATGGTTGGGCGAGCAACTTCTTGCCGTGGAAAGCTAGGCTGGCTAGCTAGCTAGCGAACAAGCCAGACTAGCCGTTGACGACGAGGCAGTTAGCGTTAGCGTGCTAATGCTAGCAGCAGCAGGGTTGAGAGTAGACGCCGGTGACGGAGGAGGAGTCTGATGCTGTTGCCACCATGTAAATGCTGGCCCAGCCTTTGATATAGGCTAACGTTACTCTGTGTTCTTTTTGCTTCGTTTGAATGTTACCGTTTGATTTCCAGCGTCGCCGCCTCCATTTAACTCATGTTCACATTTGTGTGCGGCGGGAGATCTCATATGTGTGACTTCAGCCCCAGAAGTGCTCTTGCCCTTCCCAGCTTTAAGTATGTGCGCTCACTCATTGTCTGGCATCCCTCCAAGTGCTACTTTGTCCATAACTATCAAATAAAGTCCACCTCTACCACACAATACCTTTCGCTACTTGTTGTTGTTGACAAACTGTGACAAGAAATCAAATGACCAGCAGCAGTCAGTGGAGAAACAGTTGACCTGAAATCAGTCCTTTATATAACACAGCTTAAGGGCCTGTTCATGTGCACAATTTGTGGAGTAAGGTCAGGCTTTGTCTTGCTGATGAACCTGACATCCAACTTTTAGAAAACATCTGACCTCCTGAGGGTCTAATTGAACACGTATGTTATGTGTGATGTTTCAGGGCCCGATGTGGACGACTGCAGCAAGAATGGCAAAAAGGCTGCAGAGGCCATGTCACTCAGTAAGGAGGGTAAGTCTGCACGCCATCATCTACAAGACACAGTCAAGTCTGTGGTTGTTTGGGGAACATCCAAGATAACCTTCCTTGTGAGTGCTTGCATTACTGTGCTTGTACATTGACCCGTAAACCCTCAATCAACCGTGCCTCAGCTCCTCTTCGGTTTCCAGCCTTGCCCAGAGAAAGTGACTAAATGGAGGTACCGGTTTGCAGAGACCAGGGCGAGAATCAAAGCCTGGGTAGTGTTGTTCTTGGGCACCTTCTGCCATTGTGTAGCAGCAGCTGTCTCTGTGTGTGCGTGTCTGAGCCTGACATGATAAATCAAAAGGACTAGCTTGATTGTGTGTGTGTCTGTGTGTGTGTAAATATGTTCATCTTCTCACAGTCAAAGCAAAGCGATGATTAAGAAGAATGAACTAGGGTCCACACATTTGATTTTATTTAAAGTGTATAATTAAAGTCTTCTCTTTTTTTCTCTGCTTTTTCTCACTTAGTTTTATACATCTATTACATGGTTTGTTTCAGTTTATGTTTTACAGAAATCCCCAAATTGCCAGATCAATATCCACCCACCCCATCCATTAAGCTATACCTGCTTATTCTGTTCAGGGGCATGGGAGACTGGAGTCTAACACATTAGGTAAGAGGGTGGGTACATCCTGCAGAGTAGGGTTAGGCAATATGATAAAGTTTTCCCACCGGCCACTGTGAGCCCAACAACCTGCGAAGGCTGATATATTTGATCAAGCCATGAACAAATTAAACTCTGAAAATGTCAAAAAGAAAGGAAACATAATACCTACTTTCCCTTTAAACAGAAAAATACAAACGTACACCTTCTGTATGTGATTTTCTTTAAAACTTTTTATTAACTAAGACCGGCTTAATTGCCTTGTTAACTCATGATAACATACTTCATCCAAACTTGACAGAAACGGTTTCAACAATCAGCAACTCAGTTACGCTCAGTGTGTGTAACGTTACTGTGCCGCTGAATGTCGCACAGCAGCGGCTTTCCTCCTTCGGAGGCAGACAATTAAATTAGCAAAGTAAAATGACAAAGATCACTTAAAAAACCCCACCAGTTAATGACTCAGCCAATCAGCAATAGCCAATATATTCATCCAATCATCTATGGCAGACTGAGCTAAATGTATAGACTGCTAAATATTCACAATTACGGGCAAATTCACCTACTCAAAGTGTGAGAACATCCAAACTTCAAGATACAACAGGAAGTCCCCATGGCAAACTACTGCACCACCAATGTACAGTACCTGTACGTGGCTACAGGTATTTGATGGGTAGTTGATGAAGTTGATTAGCCAATGACATTTACCAGCTGGTTCTGATTTCACTGGTATTTTGTGACACCGTTGTCTAACTCTGATGGTACTTTTGAAGTGAGAAGATCTACCATCTTTACCTGCCTGCCCCCACAATGTGACATTGCCATGTTACGTCTCCTGTGTGTGTCCGTTGTATTTCCTCTCCTCATCACTCCTCCTCTCCCCTATCCTCCCAGACATGTCCATCTTTGGCCTCTACCCGGGCCACGATGACTTCTACCTGGTGGTGTGCAGCCACTGTGGCCAAGTGGTGAAGCCGCAGGCATTCGAAAAGCACTGCGAGCGGAGACACGGCCCTCTGGCCAAGCTTTACGCCCGACTGCGCTCTCCCGCTCCTGCACCCCAGCCCCAGCAGAGGCCCCACCACGGCCACTCTCCTTCCCACGGGACCAATGCTGCTTCCGCTTCAGCCTGGGAGGGCCGTGGCCAGGGCGTCGGGCAGCTACGGGCGGCCCCGCCTTCACCTTCCACCCCACCCCAGTACAGACACTCCAAGAACTCCAAGGATGGAGTCCGGTAAGAACCCAGTGGGGCAAGTTTGGGAGGAAGTGTAGTCCTGTGTTTTGATACATTGATGCAAGACTTCAGCTTACATTTAAAAAGCCTTTGGTGGTGTTTGTGTGTAGGCCTGAGAACTGTTTTTATAAAATGAGAAGAACAAATGGCAGAACTTGCTTAAAGCATTAGTTTAACAAGTTGCAAAATGTGCTTTTTCACTTAATTTCCAAAAGTTAGGTGAGAAAATTGGCAACACTCTCATATCTGTCTGGTAAACATAGACCTATAGCCTTATTAGCCAGTTAGTTTAGCTCTGTCCATAGGTCACAAAATCTGCCTATCAGCATCCCTAAAGCTCACTAATTAAGACATGATGTATCATTTGTTTAATCCATACAAAAACTGGACTTTAAAACGGACTATTTCTTGACCAGTGGAGGTACCTTCTGGACACCTTGACATCACCATGAGGTTGACGTCAGGAGGTTACTATACCTGCCAAGAAACAGCCTAACACACTACCCCCATAAAACCACAATGTGTTGTTTTTACACGTTGGTTATGAAATTATGACATACAATGTAATGGTCCTTAATTGCTGTTAAAAACCACTATGTAAAAACGCTGATATTAAGCAGCCAAATTTAGGTGACAAATGTTACTGCTTCTCCTTTCAGTAAGTAAAAATGATGGAGATCAGTTCACTGCTACATTTTTGATGCCATCGGTTTGCAATTAAAACTATAATATATTGGTTAGCTATGCATTGGAATTACAGTCCATCCTCAAAGTGTTTTAGAGTGTTTGCACATGCACTAAGTTGAAAGGTGTTGTGAGGGATATGTTTTTGTTAAAAGAAGTGTTAAATAGCTCTACATTCTGACAGAATACAGCTTCTGGTATACGTTTCCATTTTATCCAATCAAGAGAGAACTCCACAAAGAGGGAGGCAGCACAATGTCAGTGTGTTGACGTAGGGAGGAGGGAGGGGACTGCTATCTGTGAGAATGGACAGGGAGCCAAAATGCAGATTTCACTTAGAGCAGCTTTTTACACACACAAAAAAAGGATAGATGTTTCTTTCAATTTTGGCAGTGCTGTTTAGTTAACTTTGCACTTGCCCTTCCTCTTCCATCACCCAGACATTCCCCACTGGAGAAGTCCACCCACGGCAGCCACACAGAGTCGTCAGTATTCAAGCAGCCGCCACCCCTGGAGCCCCCCATGAGCTCTCCTCCTCCATCGCTCAGAGATCCGCCCTGGCCGCATGGAGGCACCCCGCCCGGTAGACCTTCACCCACTGACAGGCCCTCCTCCCAGAGCCAGAGGAAGGATTCCTGTCTGACCTCTGCAGTGCCGGGCCACCGAATCCCAAGACCCTACAACAAAGTGGCCTCCAGTGAGTACAAAATGGAAAGATTTGGGTGATATGGAAAGCATTGCTTGTCTTACTGATAATGCAGCCTTACACAGCGTCTACATGGGTAATATATTAGGACAGCAGCAGCGTCAGTTTTGTCAGTGTCTATAAATGATGACCTGACGGCACCAGATGGTTTGTTACACAGAACCATGGGAAGTCGTCGTTGGAAATTGTTTGGAAAGTGCAGCCACTTTATAAAAATACTTGGCAGGTGATTGGATGAACGAATTTCAACCAATCAGATCAACAAACCGTATAACGTAGTCAAACTCTTACTGAAGTCAGTCGGGGAAAGAGAGAGAACTGCTTTTCCATGGAGGAAATCCTTCAGTGTCATTCTTTGCTCTTCTTCCAGTGAAGAAATACTAAGTTCTGATAGAACTGATGCTAGCAACATCGACGCTAACGACGTTAACTCTTTAGCAGCCACCATAGCATACCTAGCATTAAACCACGGCCATAGCTCATGCTGTAGCTGCTAGTAATTCCTTATAGAACGCTGATTGGTCCGAACTACTGTGGTTGGACACAAGTGCATAGCTTGAAGGCTGGCAAAATGGATTCTCACGTGATCTTGTGAACCCAGTTGCCTCTAAAGGTTAACTTTTACTATTGTTGCCAGAGATTGAGATTGACTGTAATTTTGACATTCACATGAGAAATTGAGAGCAACATTAAATATTGTGCATTCCTCTTTGGAGTATAAATATTCTTCTGCACTGAAACATCAGTGAGGTATGTTATAGTTTTCCAACAGCAATCCATGGCTGACAATTCAAGAATGTAGAATACCCCAATTTGGGGTTCAGTATCTTGCTTCCGACAACCTTCAACCTTCCGATTAGTGGACGACCCGCTCTGCCTCTGAGCCACAGCCGCCCCTTCTATGGAACCCATCTAAGAGTATTTCATACATGTGGAATCAGGCCCAAATTTCTTCATCAAGTCCAGGAAAAGTATCACCACAGAATATCACAAATGTTTTAGGAGAACCATTCCCAGATTTGGACAAAACTGCCAATGTGAAAGCACCCTAAGATACGTGCTTAATACTTCCACAGGACTTGCTTTCTAAAAGGATAAACCAAGGTCCTGGTCCTGAACCAATCCTAACCCCAGCACGGAAGCAAAGGCTGCCTGGAGAGCAAAACCTTTCATTGCTTGTAAATGCTGTTGTCTTTCAGGCCTGACGGTATTGGCACGGTGATTGTGGAGGAGAAGGAGCGCTTTGAGGAGATCAAGGAGAGGCTACGGGTCCTTCTGGAAAACCAGATTACACACTTCAGGTAGGAACCATATATAACAACCATGTTATGCCATGCCAAACCGGACTGCTAAGGGTTCAAATGAAAATCCAATTTGTTGCTTCCACAGGTACTGCTTTCCATTTGGACGGCCCGAGGGAGCATTGAAAGCAACTCTGTCCTTGCTTGAAAGGGTAAGTCATGTTTACTGCTGGACTTGTATATAAGGTAGCACTATTTGGATAGCAGATAGTTTAGAGTATTTGTTTAACATCCCTGCATCCCAAAGAGCAAGCACTCTAGCTGCTACGGTAAGTGTGCTACGGTAAGCGTATTGACTCATTTCCGGTTTACTTCCTGCTCTGTGTACGCTGTTTGGTGTTGAAGCTGTGTCAGTGA